AATGTGACAAACTGCTTTGTAAGAAAGAGCCTGAAAAGCAAAGAAAGCATTTTCCCTTCATTATATTTTCTCCTTCAGAATGAATCTGAGTTTAAAAAAAAAATTTTAAAAAATCAAAAAAGCAAGAAGTCAAATTATGCAGAGTTTTTTCCTCTTACATTCAGTAGGTATTAGACCACAACTAAAGTGAATAAATGATAATGAGTGAAATGAATTTGCAGACTTTAATCAAAAGGAAAAATAATGTTGTACCTAAAGACACAGGATGTAAGTGTTACGGGTTCAGTTGTCTGCTCTACCGCAAATTTCTTGCTCAGTCTTGGCTTCCCTAGCTATTAATGTGACAGTATTACTTTCTCTTCCTTTCCTTTACCTGTTTTGCTCAGCTGGGCTATAAACTTTCAGAGGCAGGAGGCTGCCCCTCAGCGCATGTTTGTACAGCATCCAGCATAAAAAGCCATCATCTCAGACAGACTCTTTGAGCCCTAACTGAAGACAAACCACTTCACAGCTTTATTTTCAAAGATGTCTGACATGAAAAACACTGTGAGTAAACAGATACAGAAATGCAAGGTGCATTAGAATTTTACCTCTAGAGCACATTATACTTTTTAATTTTCATTCCCCTAATACTATTTTCTAGGCAGAGCTTAAATTAAGATTGACCTCCAAAGATTTGAGACTCTGGGGATCTATCAATGGAAGGCATTTCCTCAGCTTTCTGGAATACACTTCTACACAGAGGATTAGTGGAAATACTCAAGCTATTAGTTTCTGCTTTAGAAGACAGCATGACAGCGAACAGGTATTATGAGAATCCATAACCTTCAAATTTGTTCCCAGCATAAAAAGTCTGAAATAAGCCATGTACACAGGCCTTCAGGATGTTATATAGCTTGCCTATTTTACCAACACTTTTGATGAAACATGAGTATTCAGAGTGCAAGAAATATTAGAAAGCATCATTCAATGAGTCTGCTTGCATTACATAGTTACAGGCTGACCCACTACGAACTTCTCTATTGATTTTGAATCTTTAAATCTTACATTAATTTTGGCTTTAAAATACACCCTTTTTTCTTTCAAAAATCTGAAAACACTGCACACTAACTTTGTAAAGATATTTTTTGGTCTTCTTGAATGCAGTAGCTGAAGTCTGTAGGACCTGCAGAATCCAATGCAAGTGAATTACTATAAATAAACATCCACTATGTTGTAATAACTGACCTTTGGCCCACTCTTAGTGTCTCCCAATGGTAAAGTAGTATTCACTAGCTTAAACCATTAATCAGTACCAACAACTCTGAGGACAGATCTTTGTTACAACAAATAAAGTACTAGTGTTGCATTTGGTGCTAACAGATTGCAGACTAATACTTCCCAAAAGGACAAAGTTACTACCTTGAATGTTTTAGAAGTCATTATTTAAGCACATTAACTAGTTTAAGATGTTCTTGCATCACTGGTGGTCCTTATCAGGATTGAGTCATGTTCTCTTAGCAGTGCTGTTGAACTGTGTTAAGACAGGGTTTTTAAGCCTGATTTTGAAGTCATATCAGAAAGATCTCATCCACTCACCCAAGGAAGAAGAAGTTTCATAATGCCTTTAAACAAACAGTCTCTTACTATCCAAATAATGAGCGAGTAATAAGCAAGCAAAAAGTCTCACTGCACTTAAACTTTACACGTTCCATTCTCACACAGGTTTTAGTTGTACTTTCAAACTTTACCTTCACTGGAAAGTAGTATTTTAAAGGTACTGTTATGTATTTTCTTAAAAGAGCAGGGCTAGCTGATTTTATGTCCAGTTGCTGGAGTTAAATACAGCTTTTTAAATTAATATATTTTTACTACCACACATTATTTTCATTGCAGTAAGATACAGAAGAACAACTTTTAAGAGCCACAGTATTGTAGTATTCAGAAATCCAAGTACCTAACTACACTGTGTTACACAAACACTGAAGATGCTCTCTGCCTAGAAACTTCATCTCCTTCAAGTGTCAATGAATACAATGTTTATGAACACATGAAAGATAAATGTGAAACAGACCTAAGTTTAAATATCAGAGCAAAGCTATGTCATGACAGCACACTGGATGCCAAAGATTAGTGTTTCTAACTTTCCTTCTTGTTGCTTCTTGTAACGAGTTGTTATAATTATTGCTCCCATGGCTGCAGCTGCCAACACAGACTCTCTCGACAATACCTAAGAATAGACATCTGAGCATCACATGAGTTTCATTTCTTCTCTACTGTGTAAGTAGCATTTGTCAAATTATCCTTTACAGAAAATTGAAACAAGTGCTCTATAAAACAAAGAAGTATCAGTAGATGAAAAATTATGATCAGAGATGCACTGGCAATTAGAACGAAACAGCTGTAATTGACTGGAGGAACTAGTGACAATGTCAGTAACAACTGTTCTCCATACTAGTGTATGTTTTGTGATACTGTATGTTAAAAACAACCATAGTCCCAAAAAAGAGCTACAGCATACGGACATATCCCCATTCGTCATCAGAGTCCTTCCACAGTGGCTCTTCTGCTTCTCCTTCAGTATGTTTCTACTTCCCAGATTCCCCTATTCAATAGACCTAAACCAGGCCTGTCTCTTCCATTTTCATATCTGCACTCAACACATACAAAGTAACTTCCCCCTATTATACCAAGAGCTTTTCATACCAACAAAGAGCTTTCTCCAGATCTCACTGAGAGGAGTTACTGGGGGGGTGGGGTGGGAAGGTGGTAAGACAGGAAGGGAAGGTGTTAAATAACTACTTTATGCAGATATGATGCTTCTTAAAATCATTATTCTTGGCTGTGAAATACATCTGTATTATACACCCACAATAATTGGATGCTACAAGAAAAACAGTAATCACAAAAATCACTCAGTTGCCTACAGAGAAAAGTATTCTCTTTAAAGAAGAAAGCAGATGTTAAACTAGAACAACTCAGGTTTAGCAAAGTAGATTTAACAAATCAGCACTTTGTCAATACACTCTTATGGTTCTTTCTGTGATTGCCACTCAGCCTACATTTTCAGTGTCACCCATGACACACTCTGGAGACATACAATTACTTAAAGTGAAGTCAGATTCTAACATGATCCTGCATCATTTACAGTCTCACATTGGACTTTCTTCTTCTTCTGCAGGGGCCAGAACAGTTTCCACAAAAAAAGATTTTAAAATAAAAATAGAGGGAGGCATTGTGACCTCCAGAACATAAACTAGGACATGGTAATCCAGATTCAACTTTGACATTAAAAAATAATGGGAGAAGGTTCCTGCTGTGAAAAAAAAAAACAACACACACACACACACAAAGAAAAACCCCAACTCTTGAATCTCAAAGTATCTTGGTTGCCACCCAAAACCAGAGCAAAAACCTGCATGCTCCAATCACTAGTTTAACAACCTCTATTAATTTTAAATTAGCAAGGCAGCTGTCATAATGTAAGCCCTGCAAGAAAGATGTCTTCAGGAAAGAAATGGAAAAGAAAAGGTAAAAATGTTATCCTTTCACAATTCTATCCGATTGATTTATGACCTTTGCACTTTTGACATTCACCACTCACTCTCAAAAGGTTTGTGAAAGTCAAACTCCAAACAAGGCAGAATAAAAGAAGCAAAAGAGAAATGGCCTTTTCTGTTGTTTAATATTTAAATGCATCAATTTATTACCTAAATCCACTTTTCTTATTTTGTTCTATGATTTCTAGAGACAGCAGGTAGCTTAAGGCTGTATGTTATCAGATTCTTTAACTGGAACTGGACTGGAGTTGGGGGGGGCTACAATTAATCATGAACTGAATTACAAAGGGTTAAATGAAAAAAGTTCTTGGTAGTCTAACAGAGACATGCATACAGGTGTATTTGGATTAAACAGCTCAACCAGTCTAATGGTCAGTCTTGTTCCACCATTACCCATGCTGCCTTACCTCTACCCTAATCCTATCCATATAATCATCTATACACTTTTCTTCTGAGTTAATTTTCTGTCAGTTTAGTGAGCTTAATTGACCAACCCAGGAACCCCTCTGGTGCAATGGAAATGGCAGGCATATATTGCCTGGAGTGGGATTGTACCTTTCATTGGCAACTGTATTTTAGACCAGCCTGCCTCATCTCATAGAACTTTTTTTCTTAAGCATCCTATCCCTTCCAAACTGCACAGCTTTTGGCTTCTTGGTTGTTATTGTGTTAATTGAATCACTTATTCAATTGCCATATTCTCTTCCACTGAGTTTCAGAGTGAAGGAAATGGAAATAAGGAGAAATGAAAATAAGGAGAAAGAAATCTACTCTGTCTCTTTCCCCCTCCAGAAACATCAGAGTTTCTGCATACATATTAAAAAAAAATCATTCTCCTTTTTTCCCTTTTGTGCTGCATTTTTATTTTAGCACTGTTAAACTCACTGATCTTTTTTCAAATCAAACTCAATAAAAAACGTGCATGCACATGATACTAATGCTGTGTAATTATATAAATGCAGAAAACAAGACATGGTTCTGAAGCTTCCAAAACAGTTTATGTCACTCTGAATACATCCTGCTAATCTAATACCATAAAATATATTTAAAATATTAACTTTTCTGAAGGACTAAAAAAATTTGAAGTTTAATTTAACTAACAGTCATCACACTTTATGCCAATACTATAAATATCCAATGCATTTATGTTGTTACAAAGCATTCCATTTCGGCACATCCAGACTGGAGAAATAAGGTACAAGAATTTTGGGGAGCCCTTTTTAAGAAAATAAGCCTGACTGACCTAATATCACAGTTTTATTCAATACAGTGGCAATATTTTTCCTAAGAGAACTCTATCGCAGTTAGCTTATCATGGCAGAAATGTGAATAGCTTTGACAGACAGGAGTTTTGCAATGAGATGGTCATAGGCTTAGTTTGGATCTTCCCTTGTCTGATTAGACAGAGAGTATTTTACCACAATTGGCTCTAGTCACTGACTGATTTTCATTCCCAAATACCTGTCATCACCGTCACTGATGCATTCAGGAAGAGCAAGACTACAGCCAAACAGCATGATGTGTTGATAGCAGCTGAGACGATTGAGATAACTGAAGAACTTCAGGAACTTTTCCATTTCAATACTTTTGACAATAGAAAGAACTGAAGTTATAGTGGTGTAGTTATATGGCAGCATTTGGCACTGGCTGTTGGTGATATTTATGCAGGCACCTGTGAAATCAAAACAATATATTTAGAACAAAAGTACCACCATTTAATAGTTGGTTCAAAGCATACATTGAATTGACTGGTCAGTACATATAATATATAAGCAATGCCTGAACCTCACAGATAAGATGACATTCCGTAATGCTATCATAATACTGTCAAAAAATAAGTATCCAAGAAAAAAAGGAATCTGGAGAAGCTTGGTAGCTTAGTTTGAAAACCCAAATAAACTCTTAGATATTTTCACAGTCCTCTGACTCTCTACAAAACTGGACTAGAAATAACACAAAACAGATTTCTTTCTGACACAGCCTGGATGAACACACCAAAAGAATAGCCTGGATACAGCCAACTTTGGCTGAAACTAAGAATGGAAGTCCTACAAAACAATTAAGGATGATTGGGTTCTGAAGCTGCTCTGGTTTTGGTGTTTCCATAAAGCTTCTCTTTTTGCTACCATTCTACTTTGCAGCTGGACCTTCCTATTCATTGTCAACTTGCTTACTTGTTTTCCCCAAGGTAATAGTTTTACCTTCACAGTCTTTCTTCTCTATCCTATCAACACAGAATTACATGATTTTACAGGTTGAACACCTACCCTGTCCTAAACTGTTGTCTCACTCCTGACCTACCAGAGCAACCTTTCTCTCCTAACGCCCTGTCATGTGCAGTAGGCTCGCTCAGCTATGCATGATCATAGGGTTAATTTACTACATTAAGTTCTTAAGAGTTTCACAAGCCATACACCAAATTCAGAATTTTCATCAAGAACAAACTATTAAAATCTAGTACTTACGACAGCTCCCTACTTTGATGAAGGCCTTTTTAGGCCACCTAGTCAGGCCTCAGCAGCATTTTTTTCACACTCGGAGCATATCCACATTGTACAATAAGCAGGGACCTCAGCCTATTCTCAAGACCAGACTCTGCCACTAATCATGCTGTAAACAAATCAGACTCATGCTAAATGACTATTCCAACTCTAGCCTTCTGAAGGGGGAAAACGCTTGAGCACATTTCAAGCCTTAGCACTCCTGTTCTCATTATCTGAGCAAACTGGACATAGGTAACACCAAATGGGGTAGATCCTTCCCATCAGGCATTTTGGGACTGGCTTCTTCCAAAGGTCATTCACACCCGAACTCCCGACTTGATAAAAGCTGGGGCTGTAAAGCACACAGGATGCAGCATTAAGAGTTCAGCAAGTCTGTCTCTTCCTCACCTGTCAGTCTAGACATAGTCTTCGCTGTCTAAATCCACTAGTGGCAAATTCTGGTATCTATGGACTAATACGACCTCACATAAAAGTAGGGAAAGCAAAGCATAATGAAGAAAGATTTCATTAGAGCTTTTTCAAGTTGCAATGTCTTTGAAGGGATGGACAAAAAAAGGTGGGTTTCAAATTTTATCTAAACTTGGTAAAAAACAATCCCTATTTTTTCAGTGCCTGATGAGTATACTTAAAGTTCGCCTCTTGGTCTTCTCCCTCTCCAGAAATCTCAACAAAAACTAAGGAATTGAATCTTGCCCCACTGAATTACAGCAAGTTTCTCCCCTCATTCTAATCAAGCTAAATCTATGTCCACAAGTCCCCATGTTAAGATTTCCCCCTCTCCCAATACTGCCAACGAGAAATCTTAGCACCAGTGTACACCCATTTTCTGCTACAATCTCTTCTCACTCCCACAGTACAGTGACTAATAGATCTGTTCATGCAGGAATCACATTTTTCCATACAATTCAGGGACAGACTCTCCATTCAGAATTAAAAGTAAATTCTGGGAGATGAGCAAAAAAGTGGTGAGCCTCCAAATTAAAAGAACTTTCAAAACTGCAGAGTGCAGTTTTCAAAAGTGACTATATGAGTTAGTACCACATGCCAATGATTTTCAGTGCAACTTCTGCTCTGAAGTTGTACAGGTATTTTTGAAAAATACTACCACGATGATCATCAAATCTACCTGTTAGGCTGTGAGACCAAAATCTGGTGATACTAAAACAGCTTTCCAGGGGAAAGGGAAAAAAGGTAGAGGGAAGGGAAGGAAACTCACTTCAGAATCACAAAGTTTTCTTTTAAAAGATGCCATCTCTTTAATGACTACTCACTTACTTTGTGACTTTTGCACGGTATCTTGACTGCTATAGAAATGTAAAATCTCCCTCCATTTTTTGCATTATATTTGGTACTTGAACAAACTCATTGCCATTTATTTGTAGTGCAAAGATTTTGTAATAACATTTTTATTGCTTGGGAAAGTTTAACAAGAAAACACAAAAGTTCTGATTTATAGATTAAAAATATTGAAGCTTTACAGCAGTTATTCTTTAAACTACCTTCCTCACAGTTATCTCTTGCCTATGTTCTTTTGCTGATGCTGGGACTACATTTTCAGTAACTGTTGTGATAAGAAGATAACATACCCACACAAAATTCTGGGTCTCTTCCACTGGCAAAAATTTCGCACTGAAGTTATTTAAATAAATCAAATTATCCTAAATGCAGGGGGGGGGGGGGGGGGGGGGGGCGAACGGGGGT